TCGCGAAAAAAGAGACCCTAGTGGTCTTCCTCTAAATAGAGGACCTGTCCTCCAAACACATGCAAGCGAATTCAAGTTAAAAACCATGGTGGATTGGAAATGATATATACAAAGAGAGAATATAAGAGTGAAAAAAACAAATGATATATAATATACTTTTATATACTGATAGTGAAGAGCTCCCTCACCCACGAAAAAAATTCAGTATGAAGGAAAAAAAAAGGGTGGAAGGAAGGAAGGAAAGAAGGAATTTCATTTATTTGGTAAAGATATATAAGGAAATAAAAGATAATAGGAAGGATGAACATGTTTTCTCCTCAAATTTTCATCGGCTTATGTTTAGACAGAAGATAGAAGAGAAGACAAGTGAGCCTATTATAGAGGTTTTAAATTTATTACGTCACCCCTTCATAAATATTTAATAAATTCCATAAATAAATAAGGTATGAGTTTAATGGTAAAAATAACTTAAAAATTTATCTTTTCTTTTATCTTACCGATCAAATTAAATTGTCAATTTTTTCCATTCTCTTCCATCCAACCGAACAAAAAAATGGAAACATCTCTTCCATATAGATGTCTTAGTCATCCCTTCTTCCCTCCCTTCCATTTAATTTTTTTCCTTCCTACTAATAAACCCTAATTTCAAAATGAAGTAACTTTGGATGAATTTAGCAAGAAATATAAAATTAAAACCTTCCTACTAAATGAAGCATAAACCCTAATTTCAAAATGAAGTAACTTTGGATGAATTTAGCAAGAGATATAAAATTAAAAAGGTTGGTCAAAGTGCGTCACAACTACCAAATAAAGTAACTTAAGAAAAATTCGGAAGCATCAGAAAGAATAGCAATTTCCTTTTATCTTTTCAATTCAAATTTCTACTGTCTTGGTTGCAAATCTTTGTTTTCAATTACAAATACTTCTCAAAAGATATTTGACCATTTCTATAAGGGAGAGGTATGGCATTTATGAAAAGATTTTCTAGCGAGAGAGAATCACAGAAGTGTTTTTTGTTCTTTTGTATACATATATATATATATATATATATATATATATATATTTTCTTAATAAAAGAGGCACTACCAACATGTTAGGGTTTTCAAATATTCTGATTTTAGAGTGATTTTAAAGGAAAAGAAGCAATTTTCATATCATGTGGTGCCAAATTAAAAATTAGGGTGGCATTGCTGTTGTAATAAAAAATAATAATAAAATGTTTTCTTCCATAGAGCAGGCAGTCATAAAATTGTTGTCAATGCAAATGTCATGTTGTCCGAGTGGTAGGTTGGTCACTGTGCCTAGGAGTCCGTGTTCGAACTTGCACCCTCCCCTTCTCCACCAACCCCTTTTTGGATTTTTGGGTGTGTTTAGAAGTCATGCTTTTTGGTTTTGGAATTGGTGCTCCCAAACACAAATGAATTTTGGCACCTAATTAAAAAGTATATGCATGCCACAATGAATATATATATAGGGTAAGGTTAGTAATTGTATTGATGTAAAGAATGATATACATGAGAATGTACAAAGTACTAAAGAAAGTAACTGTGGCTACAACCAGCCAAGGGGAAGCAGAGAAGCTTCAAACACAAAAAACAGAGCAAAGCTCACCCAGCAAAAGCTAACAAAGGACCAACCCTAACATGTAACACAAAAGAAAATAAGCAACACATATAGTTTGTTGCTACAAAATCAATTATTCAATGGATTAGGGGTGAACCACATGGGGGTGGCTGCTGAATTTTGTTTAATGGAAGAAGATGAGACGGGAAAAGGGATTTGATAGTGAAATCTTGCATGTTGTAAATACCATTATCATTAATGATTTCACCAAGGTCAACGGTGGTGAAATAGATAGAATTGGGAATCAATACTCGAGGAGCGAACTCACGAGCTGATAACTGAAAAGCTTGGTTCGATCCCACGAACGGAACCCCATCACCGAGGTCTGTCACGCAGTCCCAACATCTGCTGGGCGCAGTGAGCCTGTAAACATCAAACCGAATAGTGATAGTATCAACACAATCACCATACTTGGCTTGATGATCATGGTTGGTCCAGTCAATGATGGTGCCATAGTCTGTCTGGAATGAGTGTGGCGTGCCTACTAACGCGCAAAACTTCCCCACAATGCGACTCCATCACGAGGTAGTCTTTCTGTTCAAAGTTGATGTCACTTAGTTTCTTTTCTGACTCCGGGTAATCGGGCAGCCCTTGAATGAAGCCCAATTCAATATCAATTCTCTGTGGGGAATGAGGATTGCAGAGATTCCAGGCTTCAAGTCTGGAAATGTAGGGTCTGCAATAGAAGAGCTGACCCTTGGTGGAATATGCAAGATCGCCAGGGTCTGCATAAGGGTTTTCTAGGGCAGTCCATGATGAGTCACCTAGTTTACAGAAGGCAAGACGATCACGTCCATTAATGTTGTTTTCAATCATCATTAGATCACGGCCATTAATGTTGTTTTCAATCATCATTACTGTACAGTCGTCGAATGATGGAACAGATGACAAGACAAGCTTACATGTTGTGACAAATGTGCAAGGACGCCTTTCCAAGGGAGGGAGGCAGATTGTGGGCAGAACAGGGGAGACGAGGGGATTGGTTCAAAGGACAGCAAAATCACGAGGGTCGACGTAGTCCAGCCGTCCATGTCGGGTATGAGAATGTTACTCTTGCTCCTCACATTGTTGAGTTTCACCAGTTTTCTGTGAGCTAAGCTGTAGAAGCAATAATCTGGAAAACGAGGAGGCTGGTTCTCCTCTTCTCCAGTGCCTTTACTTACCTCGTTCGCAATGGTTGCTGCAATCACCTCATCCTCAAGATCATCATCATCATTGGGAGAAGGTATCAGCAGACACGGCGCCGTTGATGACAGCGGCAAATGATTATGGGGTGGTTCTATGTGATCCTTTAGCCCTAAAGCAAAAGTAGTGTAACAAGAATTCGAAGGAGAAGAGTTGATTATACCCCGCCAAAGAAGGACCAACTTGATGGAGTGGAGGAACAGGAGGATGATGTTAGTTGTTTCACACCTGCAACACCACCACTACCACCACCGCCCTTGCGTAGAAGAAGAAACCCTAATTGCCTTCCCCTGTTGACCGAATTCAATTTAAAAGCCATGCCTGACATGATATTGTACGAATACCAAAAGAGAGAGATCGATCAGAGTTAAAAAAATAAAAAAATAGATGAAAGAGCGTATACACTTCTCCAAATAAGAGAAATTCTTAGGTTTAGTTAGCCTTATAAACACAACCCTATCTCCAATAAAAGAAATTATTAGGAGTATGACCTACCCTCAATTGCCAAATCAACTTTATTTATTCCTTTCAATTATCAATTACTAAAAATTTTTTTTTTTTTTTTTTTTTTTTTTTTAACCACACAATTACTAAAAATTGTAGTTCAATAATATCTCCTAAAAGGTAAAAGTTCGAGTCCAAGTCCTCTTAGAATAAATGGATGCATATACGAGTTCTTATAAATTAAAATCAAAAACTTTGAATTATGAAAGTTATAGCTGCTATATTATTAGAATATCATGATACGCATTCGGCACACATTGATCAACAATTCCAAAAGATAATAATAATAAATAAATAAATAAAAAAGGTTAGGAATGTTTATTAAACCTTTCCAGCTATAAGGAATGTATATATATATATATGGTAACTCATAGTTAATATCAATATAATATAATTAGAGTGCCAACTATGCCCTTCATGAAGCATGGTTATCATGCAGCTGTAATCAAAATCTGAGATTATTCTCATGGACTAATTAACAAAATGTGCTTGACAACTCTTCTTAATTTTTCAAGGTTTGTAACTAAAATTTACTCTTCTTGCTTTTGCTCCACTCATTCAGTCATATGACATGGCTAAATTGTCTATTATATAACTCTTCAAAGATTCGGAGTTGGTTGAATTCATATTGCCAAGTTGCATCTATTCAAAATCAAATAAGTAGCAGAACATAAAGCATAATCATTTACATTATGACTAAAGTCCCCCTTATTTTTTTATCATGAGGGGCTGTGATGTATCAACACTCCTAGACGGTAGTTAAATAGGTCGAACCGAAACCGGAACTCAACTCTTGGGTTCAATGTAATCGACAAGATCAAATCTGCACTGGAGGAGGAGTGCTCTCACACCGTCTCTTGTGCTGATATCATGGCTCTAGCTGCTAGAGATTCAACTGACCTAGTAAGCATTTTACAATATGTTTCTGAGCTAGCCTTGCCTTTAATTGGATGACCAATGTATCCTTACCTAGCTAGAACTCACAAGCTAATGATCTTCTTTGTTTGTCCAGTCTGTTGGACCTAGCTGGGAGGTCCCATTGGGAAGAAGAGACTCCAGAAGCCGAGCAACAACATTCCTGCTCCAAACAACACATTTCACTATTTCAGACTACATATTCGCACCAGGTTTAAGCTCCAAGGGCTTGACATAATTGATCTTGTGGCACTGTCAGGTAAATTTGTTAATGATTTTGTGTACACATTTGTCTTTTATTAAACTATGACATAAAGTCCTTCAATTGCCTTGCAAATGTCAGACCTAGCTTAAATAGAGCTACACAATATTAGAGTTTGATATACACTGTTGGGTAATTCTCTAACATAATAATTTATTGAACTTTGAGCATAACAGATAGTACTATAAAAGGTTTTGGGTTTTGTTCAAGACTCTCCATATGCAATTTGTCCACCTTTCTACAATATGTGTGAGGACTTAATAAATGTTGTTGGAACCCATTTTCTAACAGCTTGTAATCAGGTTTTTGGAGCGACTGATAAACTTAATAATAAGATTTGAGAGAATAGACTTAGGTGATATGGACATATAAATAGAAGACCTACAGATGCACCAGTGAGAAGAGGATGGTTAATTTGTATAGAGGGTAGGAGGCAGAGAAGGCACCCAAAATTAACACGGAGTGAAATCATTAGAAATCATTAGAGAATTCACGTGGCGGACCCCTTCCATATGGGATCAAGGCAAGGATGATGATGATGATGATGATGGTGATGGTGATGATAAACATCATTTGGTCTCTAGACCATTGTAGTCCATAACTATTTCAAACTAATGCATTTCTCAAAGCTCATTACTTTGTAACTGGCTTGAGTATGTCTGATCTTTACTCTAACCTTTACACATGCTAGACCTATATTGATATTCTATTTTTTAACAAAATTTGGGAATTCAAGATGCACCAGCTTCAGGCAGAGGCTCTGCAATCAATCCGACAATGGGCAACCTGACTACGTGCTGGAGCAGTCATATGCTGCTCAATTGCACACCCAGTGCCTAAGATCTGGTAGTGACCAGAACCTATTTTCTTGGACTTTGTCACTCCTACAAAGTTTGATAACAGCAACTTCAAGAACTTGTTAGCCTCAAAGGGCCTCTTAAGTTCTTACCAAGTTCTTATGACTAAGAACGAAGCATCAATGGAGTTAGTGAAGAAATACGCAGAGATTAACGAGCTTTTCTTTGAGCAATTTGCCAAGTCCATGATCAAGATGGGAAATATCACTCCATTGACTAGTACAAAGGTAGAGATCACAACGAACTGCAGGAAGATCAACACTTAAGACCACATAATTACGGAAGCAAGAAGGCATTATGCTCTACTATGTTTGCATTGTCTGTTTCTTTCTCTTTTTCATATTTTTTCCTTCTTTTCCTTTCTAAATTTTCCAAGAAAAAGTTCAATTGTCTGGTTTATTGAAGCCAGACTCGTGGACTTGTGGTGGTAATATAATTGCCTTTTGGTGAATATTTTCATGAGAATTCAGGTATTATCCTTTTAAAAAATAAATTGAAATGGGTATTTGATTTGGTGTAACCATTTTGTCGTTCCCTAACAACTATTATATCTACCCGACAAGGAGAAATACTGATTGAAGTGAATTATGGCAACACGACTGAGAGCAAGTGAAGCAATCAGGTTGCATAGAGTTGAATCCAGGCTTCTCTACCTGCTAGAATTTAAATATTTTATTGTCTACCACCAATTAACAACTTATTCTCCCGGTAAATTAGCCAGCAACAACCGTTACATTAAATGACATTACATTTATTTTTTTTTACACTCTAATAAGTTTTCTATATGCTCTAAATAGACCAGCTGCAGACCTAGAGTTTACATGATTCCATTATCCTTTTTTTTTTTTTTTTGCCCCCAAAGAACTTTGCAGAGCGCTAGTCCTCTGCCATGTACAGCCAATTTCAAGCAGTAATTTTGATAGTAAAGAGTTACTAAACAAGATAACAGATTGCTACAATCAATACATGGTGGTGTGCAACACAAACCACCATTTATCTTGAACATGTAGCATCAAACACGCCAAGGAAGAGCAAAGAAGCAAGCTACAGTATCTCGAAACATCTACCATATAAAACACGCCAAGGAAGAGGAAAGAAACAAGTTAAATCTAAATAGAGGGATAATAAGTATACAAACAACCCTGCTCCCCCCAACAAACACCAAATAAATAGACATGCAGCCACTACAAATACGATTCATTCTGCATTCCTTGTTTTAAATTTTTTCTGGTGACTTGTAGGTGATTGTCAAAAAGCACAAGGCAAAGTAAGCAATATAAGCCATAAACTGCAAAGGATGTATTTTACTAAAGTAAGCTGCATACCAAAGACTGCCGATAAAAACATTTGACTTCTGCCTTTTTCTATAAGATTGTCTCGTCAATCTTCTCAGCCTCAGCCTACAATCTTTTTAAGTCTTCCTCTTTTTTGTCAATGACTGGAATTCTTCTTCTTTGTGCCTCCTTCAGGCTGGAATAGTCCATGAACAGCTGCAAGGCCTCGGAAATATCATTCCAGCCTCTGATGCAGCCATCCAACTTCCAGCTTTACAGTTTCCTTAGCAATATCTCCATATCTCAAAAATATGGCGTTAAGGAGAGATGCCCATTCCGGCTTCACTGTGTACCCATCAACTATGACCAAAGCACAATCAAGAGAAGATGTTAACTTGCTGAGATCAAAAGAGTCGTCATCCAGCATTTCAGCCATTTCTGTTATGTTAAGACTAAAAGTTCAGCCTACATGCTCTCCTCTTTTATTACAGTTGTTGGCACTCGTTTCTGGTCTGCTCCCAACTATATTTGAGGCTTCATTAGCCTTCGTTATTGGCAGATGGTTGTCATATACAACCTCACGGGGTGCAGAAAGAACAGCAGCTGGTTGTGCCTGAGCTTGAAGGAAAATCACTTTGGAATTTAAACTTTCCAAAGTCCACTTCATCATTGCTTGTATTCGATTTTGATACAGAATGAAATTTGTCTATTTTTTTCTTCCTCTTTGCCAACCTTGGGGTGCCAGTATGATTGGAGATCGCCTATGAGATGAATGACAAGCAAACGTAAATTAACAAAAACAAATAGATTCCTACCGTGGAATGTCAATGTGTGCCTAGTAACCACTAAGAATTTACATCTTAAATAGAATTGAAATCTTGTCAAATACAACTGACATATATTCCAAAAGGAAGGGCAGTGCTTTTCTTTATACCTGAGTCTGAATGGGGCATTGCTTTGGATGTCTCGAGGTAGAACCCTGACCAAGAACCACCATTGCATTTCGAGTTAGGTATTGAGGCAGCGGACAGTTTAAAGAGCCCTACTCAAACAATTCCAATTCATAAGCTGTTATTTGACATCAAAACATGTAATTACAAAAGCTTCTATACAACAATGAAGAAATCGAGACTTGTTGAATTTCATAAGCCATTAACAAATAATCAATATGTAATATCTGAAGAGTTGAGTTCCGTACATACAGCTGTAATGAGTAACACTTAACAGTTATATTATTCAATTCCATAGGCACAGAACAGTTGTTCATCATGACAAAAGTGAGTTGCCAATTAACCATGTAGTTCAACAGTTTCAAACAATGATTTGAGCTTCCTGAAGACAAATTAGTTCCTTCCATGAGTATATATTATGGTTCAGCACATTACGGGTGATTTATATATGTAAAAAATCCCCCCATCCTACTCTTACTCTGGTGCATATAAATGCTTGGCCTAGGCAATATATGGGTAAGTATGTTATTAAGCCTAAGAAATACAGAATTAGTAAGATAATCAAGGATCAGAGCATAGGCATACTAGGCAAAAAAAAAAATTAAAACTCCATTTTGGTGAATAAAAAAACCCTTTTCTTGGAACAAAAGTTATAGACTCGGTTTTGTTCTATGAAATTTGCCAACCTAAATCCTATTAAACCTAACACAAACAATTTCTTTACATGAAGAATTGAAGCAGGTAGATTTTAACAAATAGTTTTAATAGATTTGCATAGACCCACTAAAAACAAAGTAAAACCACAATTATAGATCCAAAAAAAAACAAATTGATGAGAAATAAGGGAGCATCGGATTTTGCAACCAAGGTATCATAAGAGGAAGGAGTAAAAAAATGAGACTCGAAACAAGTGAAATCTGGTGAGATTGTTTTACAGAGACAATGATGTCAAGTAAAGCATGTGACCGAAAACCAAGACTAAAAAAGTCAATCAGCTGAGCTTCCAAGGGACTCATGATGCATTGGGAAGAACAACAGCATGCTGCTCTATATCTCAAAGCCATGGCTAAAAGGTGAGAGCAAGCACACTGGAAGAGCAAGAAAACTATCAAAGTAAAACACATTGCAAACCATGCATAAGAGCTGACAACTTCATAGAAGAATCATACCTCACCATAAGTGAGCTAAGCAGGATTCTTTGCACAGAATAACATAAAGGCTTCCCGGAAGTCCAAAATTTTAGAGCCAGTAGTTTTTCTATATCAAAACCTAAATAAGCAAGAAATATCGAGGCTTGTTGATGATCCTGAACCTCAATTGGAACTTGTTTTATGTAACAGATGTTACAAACCTAAATTAAGTTGTGGTACTCTCAACTCTGTTCTTCCACGCACTAATGCCGATATCACAAAGAATGTTTAAATAAATATCATATGAAAAAAGTTACTTTCTAACCAACTTCATGGTTGATTTATAACTAAATTAAAGAATAAGTAGGGCTTTAAGTTATGGACTCTATATTTGTTGTTTACTTAAGAAGATTGGAACAACCCATAGCACTAAATGATACTACTTTTTTCTCAGGGAGGTTAAAAACAGACTTAAAACTAAATGTAATAAATCAGTCAATAACTCTATTTAGTTTGCAATCAAGTTGTTTGGAAGACCAGCTATATCACAGATCTCAACCTAAATACGGAGCTGTGAAAAAAAGGAAAAAAAAAAAAAAAAAAAGATCGTTGTTTATTATTTTAAATTTCCTTCTCTTTGATCTACTGTTAATTGCACGAAAAGTTGATTAAAATTGATGAAATGCCAGTGTCTTGATCAGATTTCCACTTTCTGCAAATGTAATTTTCCTGGCCATCAAACTAGGGTTCCTATAATGTTAGTTCAATCAACAACTGAAATCTCGCGGCTTACGGGATGAACTGATACTTTAAACTAGGATAAATTATATCGACTTCCCAGTTACAGGGACCTCATCTAAGGTTATTAGAAAGACATCGGCATCCTCTGTTAGCATGAACAGGATGCATACTTTTACAAAATTTAATAAGATCTCTAATAAAATATTGAAAATGTACTTTTGAAACAGTAATTCACATTTATCTCCCCCTTGCTCTCAGCATTTCAGATCTCTGAGAACCCCACTCACAGTTGCACATCATTCAATCCATTTATCTGTTTATCTAGGATGCAATGAATGCTAAATGTGTATCGCCTTTTGGTGTTATTAGACTTTGCTAGAATCTAATAGCTTATAGGCTTCTTTCATTGCTGCTCATGCACGCGCACACACCACCAAAAAAAAAAAAAATGCTCAAAAAGAAATAGAAGTGTCAGTCTATTATGCATGTGTTTTTTTAATAGCAACAAAACCTGCTGTCCACAGCTCACCACATGATTCAGCAACCAGCATACACAACCATTAACCCTCCACCCCACCCACCCATCACCACTTTTAGTTCAAATCTCCTGCCACCAACAAACCTCACCAGCAAAGCACCATTGTCCACCAGTCAACAAATATCACCACCATTCAACCCTCTCATCTCCATTTAACCACCAACAGGACAACCATCGACTTTCAAACTTATTTACAACAAAATTCATTCTTCCCCCACCACTCACACCCTCAACCACCAATATCACCATGAACAAACTCTATATGTCCAAACCATCAAAAAAAAAAAAAAAAAAAAAACTGTCACTTCCATCACCAGTTTTCTTTTTCTTCATATGACTGTAGATAAAAAATAAAACACTAAAAACAAATTATTATGTACGAACTAAGATCTTGCTTGATGGTGGTGCTACGTTGATGCTTTGACAATCAAATTCCATGGTATTCACTTTGTTTTCAAAGTCTTCAATTTCATTTAAAGCAGTAGTAATAGCACGAGTAGCATCAAAAGGTTAATCAGTCTTCTTTGTGAATCACACAGTTTTGACAACCAACATTTCAATTTTGAGTTCTGTACACTCTGAAATGGTTGATTCTTGCACAACTCATTCATAGTACCAAAAGATCCAAAACAGGCATTACAGTATGATTAAGGCTTCCTTTGTTTTCTCACTGTGTTTGCAAAGTACGTTTACTAACTAGGTGCATTCCTGGAGCCTGAGGAAGCTATTAGCAATGATTGCCAACCAGTTGAAGCAGCAAAGTTTTCCCAACTGTTTGGGATCAGCCGTTCTGTTTTATCTACGACCATTACCTTAGTTGAAGCACTTGCTTTCATATCTTTACTTGCTAAATCAACCAATGTTATTTATAGTTGGAAGGAAATTGACCAGATCACCGTGATTGGTGGAGGATTTTGCTCCACGATTATATAGAAATATTTATATATGTCAACAACATATATATATATATATATATATATTGATTTCATTAAGGGAAAATGAAATTTCCAAAAGGTTAGATGACCTTAGCAAATTTTGACAAAGAATGTTGTGGTTGATTAAAGAAGGGCAATCTGTTAGTAACAATGAAAGCAGAGGTAAGGGCAAAGTGACTTCAAAAACCTTTGGGAGGTCCAGCATCCATCAGAAACTTCATAGGAGCTTGATGTAATTTACCCTTGTCAGACAAGTACAAGGCTCAAAAGGTTAATTGTTAGGGAATGGACCTACCAAGCTAGCAAGCATACCCTCATGTGTTGCACCCCTTCAGCACATGGAGAGGCAGGCGCGGACGGACAAGTAGAACAAAGTGAAACACAATAAACAGAACGAAAGACCAGATACAAATAGAGAAACATAGCTCAAGATTTTGCAAAGGGGAATCCCTAATACCATGTTAAACTACCACTGCCCAAAAGTTTAAGACATTAAGGAATGAACCCAACAATGCATATCAAGCTTTCACAACCCTTCAACTGTGATTTTTTCCGTGTGTGCACTGTGTGTCACATGCAAGCATATTTAAAAAAATTAACCAGAAAATAACATCAACATCACGAATTGACATGGATAGGCAAGCAATCAATTGATTGCACAATGTGCTGTACTAGATTATCTGGTTCAATTAAACAAAGACTTAAATTTCCATTATCTGGTTCATATTGACTTATTTGTGTCTGTATTTGATATATAACGTGTGTGTGTATATATCTTTACACATTATGAAGAAACCCTCTTCCTATCACAGCATTTTCTACTCCATAAGCTCATATTTTTCACTGAACGACACACACACAGATGGGTTACCTGAGTAGATGAAAGAATGAAAGGCACATACAAATAGAGAAACAAGCCTCAAGTCTATCCGGTTCAAATTGACATATATGTGTGATATAACACACACGTAATTACGCACAATGTGAAGAAACCCTCTTCCTATCACAGCATTTTCTAATTACATTGACTCATATATATTTAATAGTTTCATTTTTCACTGAACGAAACATATAAAGAGAAAGATGGGTTACCCGAGTAGATCTAAGGATGGGCTTCTGTTGGCATTCTGTATCTGCCTCGTATTCTTTCTCTTTCTGTTTCCGTTGCTCTCTCTCTCTCTGTAACCTTCGCACTCCCCTGGTCTTAGAAAATTGCAGATATCATCTCTCTCTATCTTGGTTTTGAATCAAATACCACTCTCTCTCTCTCTCTCTCTCTCTCACCTTCTATGGTTCTATTTCTAGAGTGCTCATTTCAGAACTGCAATTTAAACCTTTTTGGTGAAAGTGAGACTTCTCGTGGTTTGACCGTTTGACAACTTTCACAAACATATTTTTATTTTTTTCAATTTTTCTGGAATACTTTCTACTTTCTACTTTCTACTTTCTACCATGCCAATGGAGTGATTGATTATTTTTAATTTCTCTCTCCTTTTTTACACTCTCTCACTTTTTCCTCGTAACTTTTTATCTATCCATCGTGAAAATTAGTACATACGATCCCAGACTCCCAATGGTCCCCCACCAATCATATCATCTGAAAAAAAATTATATAGAGTTAATGCATTTACTTGCGTAGCCAATTATAATTGATTGGACCAAGGCCGGGTCTTACTGTATTTTCTCTATCTCCATGTGAATGGCGAGGTTCTAGTTCTCAAAAGAACAATGTGGGGGTACATGAGTGCTGTGTATTTTTTTGTCAATAAGAATAAGTATAAATAAAAATAAAAGTACTTATAATTGATCATGATCATATAATAATTTATCTGAAACTTAGTCTGAAAGTATTACTAGTAGGAGTGCACACGATCCAATTTGAATCGAATTGGAAGTTTTTTGAGACCAAACAATTTATAACGATTTCACTATTTTTGAAACCAGACTAAACAATAATGTTCATAGAACCAAACCAAACCAAACCACGAAAAATTGGTTTAGTTCGGTTCGATTTGTCGGTTTAAGTTAATTTCCTTGTTATTTTATTTTTTAAAAACAAAATCTCTTATTATTTCCTATATATAATACATCAACAGGGAACGACAGTGACAAAATAACAATCGCATATGCAATGTCAATAATATCAGGCACTTGTGAAACAAACAAACAGACAATGACGAGATGACCACAAAGGAAAAAATGCAGCATTTCCTGTTTACCATTTACGAGGTATTGGGAAAAGAAAAAAAAAATTAACTCAAAATTTCAAAAAAACAAGAGATATCAAGTATGAAATAGCTAATGTTTAAAGTCCCTAACTATCATAATTATTTCTTGCCATGGCTAAAAATATATAAACTTAATTCACTAATCACTATGAAGTTGAAAAAAAAAAAAAAAAAATTATATATATATATATATAAATATAAGTTATATAACGGTTCGGTCCGGACCGGGCCGGTCCAGCAATATCCCAAATCAGGACCAAATCGAAAAATTACGGTTTCATAATTTTGAACTCAGGATCGGACCAAACCGCTACACAACTAGCCCAAACCGCCCAGTTCAATCCAGTCCAATTTTTCGGTTTATCAAATTTTTTGAACACCTCTAATTACTGGAGGGAGTTTGTTTCACATCGACTCTAGATAGAAAAATAAATAAGTATATTAGAATTAGGTGTTAGCCCCACCTAACAGCTTAAGTTTTGTGTCGGATTACGAATCACCTTTATTTAGCTAAAGAGCTTAAATTTGGAAAATGATTTTTGATTATTTAGCTAAACAAAAATATTTTGTAATCCTTTGTCCTTAATTAATATTCTTGAGGAATGTTACATAGGCCCAAGTCTAATCGAAGACTGGGTTCTATAAATCATTATTATTCTGAATTTAGGTTCAAAATCCAAAGGAAAAACACTTCTATTATGGCCGCTTAGGCCCATCATGGTGGGCCCTACATCATATTTTCGTCCCTTATATAATTAAGAAATTATTACTTCGGACCAATCCGAGACCATAACGATACATAAATAAAATGATGATTAAAAATGATATAAAATTGATATATATATTTATATGATGTGATTGGTCCGGAAGCAAAGGTCCCCAGACCATACAAAATTACTAAAAAGTTCACTCTAAAATCCAAATTCTCAATTTCAACTTACCCAAAATAACACAAACTCAATATTGACTTTCTAATTTCAGATTTTGACTTTTTTTTAATTGTTAGTTCAGAAATTTACAGGAAATGGTGTTTTTCACTTTATCTGTTTCAAATCTGGACGATGATTTTGCAAAAAGTATTGAATACTTTTGGTACCTAGCACCTCCTCGACTAACTATTTTTTTAATAATAAAAAATTATATCTAACCTATTACGAATTTGGAATACTACATACTACATTTCCACAGTACCTTAGGGTACCCAATACTTTTTCATAATGTAGAAGGGTTGCATGTAATACAAACCAAATAATCCCAAAACAGTGGATATTACACACACTCTATGAATCAAGCATGCAGTCCAATAACTTGAAAGATTCCATGTAATACAAACAAATTCATATGTAAATAATACATGGATTTTTCTTTCACTTTTGCTCGAAATTGTTGTATTGTTTCCTGCAAGCCGAAATCCAGGATCCCGATCAAACATTGATTCATTCAAAACTTCAACAATATTTAGCAAATTGGGCTTGAAATTAAGGGCATATCCAAAAATATATTATGGGGTGGGCTAGTACTATTATATATGTACCTAAAAAAGAAAAATTATTTTTTTGAGCTCTGTTGGGCCCTTGCTTGAAATGGAGCAAATTTGACCTCAGATTCAACAAGTTGCGATTTTAATTTTGAATGTGAATTCAAAAAAATAGTAGATCTTAGTTGTTTAATTCATAAATGGATTAGATGTTATTCAATCCATTATATAACCATGTCTATATAATGGATTTGTTTCGACTCAAGATTGTGAGTTAATCGATGCTTGGTGGTGTCTAATGACCTAGAGCCTATAGAAGTGAATATGTCAGTCAACTTGCTTGATTTTTGTAATTTATTAAATTACCCAAAATGATTAACAATATCCACAATTATAAATATGAACTACTAAAATAAAGCAAGTAAAGTAAAATTGAAAGATGACATCGGAATTTTTAGCAAGCAAATGCTTTCGGGAGAAAATCACAGAGACTTTGTTGTCTATAGCGAAAACAATCCATAAATTATCTCAAAATAAAGTTAAAAACTTTAACTCAAGCTCACACCCTCTCCACTTTATCAAGAAATAGTTGTTGAATGTTTTAACTTTATGACTCCTTATCCAAATGCTCTCGACTCTAAACTTATTCCTCAATTCTTATAGATGGATTACTGGAAGAACACGAATACTCCTCGAATCATATATTTTCTTTGTAATAATTAATTCACCTTCCTTTCAATGATATGAAGAATTATGAAGTAATTTTCCTCTAACCGAACTAAGTAAATCAATATTGACCCTGAAAATCCTTTCATCACCCTAAATATACCACTCTATCTTTGAGTGTGTGCTCTAAAAAATATGAAACAGATTTTTCTCAAAGTCTCTCTCAAAAAGGTGCAACGATTATGCAAAAGAAAATTATTTGTGTTTTCCTAATTACCATCCAAGTCTTACTAGAGCTGGAGTTTTTAAATGTATTTAAATTCAGGTTCAAAATATTTAGAAAAGGGTATTATAAACGTACTAGGACATCTCAACAAGTTTGGTTCAAAAAGAAAACTTAAAAGTTACCAAAAAAAATAAATAAATAAATACAACTAAAGTCTTCAACTATTTAGGAAAGTGCGACTAGTTGGACTTTGACATAGAGGACATATATGACCGATGGTCCAATCTGTAAGATCATTTATTATTTGTGTGGCCCACATGATTTGGACATATGATATATTTCATTAATTAGTGGTTAAGTAAATAGATATCGGATTAAAATTATATTATTTGGTCAACTTATAAATTACCTTTATGATAATTAATTATTAGAGAAGTATTTTCCTATTTACTCCTTATTTTGATGGAAAGTAGAATTAAGGTTACTAAAAAGGAAAACTGGTCATCTCTCTGCCTTTATAAAAGTGCATATGTCCCATTAATTATGTACGCTAATGAAACAACATAATTTTTATGTGTGCAAAAGGCCAAAAGAGATAAATCAGTTTCCACATTTTGCTTATTGTTCAGGATTGCGCTTAGTTCGTTGATAAATAATCTCGACATTGGACTTAATATCAACAAGTTTTGATATCATGAATCGAAGTATTTATATCTAATTATATTTATTTATGCATTATATGTATGTGAAAATAATAAAGTTCTAAAATTTAGGATTCATGTTTATTTGTCATTAATGCTTAACACGAATTAATTAAAGTTTACACAATCTTCACACGTGTGAGCGATCACATTGTCTATTATATTACATTATGTTATTCAGACACTAATTTGCAAAATAAAGATTTTCATGAAACCCTTGAATGCACCTGGGCAGTGGCCATGAACTCACTCCATTATATCCCAATCTAATGACACAGAAGCTTAAGACCATATCAAGCAAATTAGCCAGACCTATTAAGTTTTAAGAAATGCCACGCATACATAAACACATTATATATTATATGAGCCTATTACTTAATCATTGCAAGCGTAGATTGCCAATAAAAGTGATGAAATTTATCGTTTAAATTTTAAAATGGTGATTATTGTTTATTTTTTATTTTTTACCTTTTAAAATGGTGAAGTTCATGATAGTGAAAAACATTATTGAAAATGATAAAATTTCAAAGCAAATGTGTTGAATTTGCACTGCACAGGACTGTTCAGAAAAGTTACTAGAGAGGATTTTGATTCCATCAGATAACATTAAAAACATCACCAACAAAGATTATAGCCGCGCTGTATCTGATTTACTTTTTAAAGTGAAAAGTCAGAGTCTTTAAGTTACCACTAGGATAAAATTGTACCTAGAACCCGTCCTATAATAATTGTTTATTTTTGGTATTGTAGATTTTAAAAGACATACAATTAAGAATAATACTTAGTTACTTATTGGTAAATAGTTTTACCTTACTCACCTTTTTTGTATTCCAATAACAAAATAATACATCAGCTTTAATAACAAAATCAATAAAATAATAAAAAAAAGAAGAAGAAAGTAAGATCGACCCGCTTTAATTGGGTAATCACCCTTTCTTTTTTCTCAACAAAATAATCAGCGAATATGTCTGATTTGTGTTTAGATTATTTTTCTTTTTCCTCTCGTACTCCATTGAACATCATCACTCAATAGGCAAGCAAGAACTGTGGATTCAATTATGTCTTGTAGTGGAGGTATGATTTAATTATTTATTTTGCACATTTGTATTGTGATTTATGTCTTGACACTTTTATATATATAGATTTTGTTTATTCAAAGATTTATGTGATTTAATGCTTCCAATTGATCATTTCATTCTATCCATATGTCTATGTATGTTAGAATAGATGTTCATGTGTTTGTCTCTATTTCTTGTGTTATTGATACATGTTTATGTGTATTGATGTTATAGATCTAGAGATTGCCAAGACATAGTGTTTAATGTCATGTTCTTGTGATTTATTTGTTGGTTCATACTCATTGCTTGATGGATTGTACATCGCCCTTAGTTTAATTAGTTTAATTTCATGTCATTAGCTTAGTTGTAGTGTAGTTGTTAAATGGGAGGGCAATCCATGCTTGTTGTTGATGTTCCATACTTATGAAAAGCAAGTAACATGTATCTCTAACCTTGTGATGTGTTTAGATTGTGAGCTTAAAGAAAGGATTAATGGCTTAATTTGATATGTTGTGCTATCCACCATATTGTTTAGACAATATATGCTTAATTTGTCATCCATGCTTATTGAAACAACCACACACACACACTCTACATTGCAATACATGTTATTCCCCTCATTAATCATTCATTAAAGGTGTAGAAAAGTTATGCTTAGTGGTGATCTCTAAACCCCAAAATCTCTCTCTTTTATTCTCTCTATTGCATTATTGCTTACTTTAGTTTAAGTTGTATCTAGTTTAATTCAACCAACCAACCACTATTTTGATCACTCGACCTACTAACCCTAATTTTGATTCTTCAACCTAGTACAACACTCAATCCCTTGGGACGATCCCTACTCACTCTAACTATATATTTTTAGTAAAAAGAATGTAAAACTTGACCACATTTACGTAGACTTTTGGAATGCGCCGACCGCCCCACCAATTCACAGACTGCCCTTTCATTTTTTGTTTCCTCTCAAATGATTTCACACAGAGGGACATAGATCCTCACCACCGTTCACTCCATCAAAGGTAAATTACATTATCGAAAGTGAATCATTATTAACAAGTCCCATCTCATAATTTAATTTTTATGTAGGTCCCACCTACGAATTCAATATTAATCACAAAATTCTCTCTGGCTCTTTTCAGTGGAGTTGTCCACCAGAGGAAGGAGGAATCATGGGTGGATGTGTAGTGTTTTTAAAAATACTTTTCTCAACCCAAAAAAATGTATTTATAATACATGTTTGAGAAGGGGGTTCGAGTGTGATGCTCGCTTGGTCACCAAATATAAAACATAAGCTCACATAATCAAACAATAATAGATGTCGTAAATTCAACTAATGATAATAGAAACACAGAGAGAAACACCAAATTTTACTCAGATCATCAACCTTCCTTCAAAATTCTTCCAAGATTGATCAATTATTGCTCCGTGTTCTCTGTTAATCAGAGTTTTCAATTCATCTCCATGTCACGGTTCTCTGTTCAATCAAGCTATTTGAACGGTGAAAGGATTGTTGCCCCATCTTTGTCGCAATTTCCCTTTGATTCAGATATTTATAGTTTTCTTGGTTACTTTTTTTGTGCCAACTTTCTATCTGTGGTGTTTTGTTTCCTACTCTCTATGCTTGCCTTCCACTTTTTCTCTCTTAGGGTCAATTTGGTGCAATGGAAAATGGTGGAAAGGGAAGGGAAGGTGATGGAGGGGGATTAAAAATTTTTGTTTGGTAAAAAATGTTAGAAGGAAAGGGAAGGGAAGGGAAGAGTTTGGAAGGTTATGTCAAAGTTTCAACAGTGTTTTTCTTATCCTCCCAAAAATGGGAGGAAATGGGAGGAAAGTGAAGGCAATGGCTGATGGAGGAGCTATGATACCAATTTTACCCTCAAGATTACACATGTTTACAAAACAATATACATACAAGTTAGCAGTTGCAGAGAGAGTGAGAGACGGCAGGCCGGTGATTGAAGCTTGCGAACGGCGAACCCGAACTGGAACAGCGGCGATGGAAACTGAAAGATATGGGTTTTGATTTTCTGAACAATCTGAAATGATATACCGATATGGGTTTTGAACTTCTGATTCTTGCAGACAAATATGGGTTTTGAACTTCTGATTCTTGTAGTGCCCGGGGGGGGGCAAGTTCAGAATTGAGAACGAGAATAGAGATGGAGCCTAGAGGCGAGATTGGGGAGGCTGAAATGATTTGCCCTAATTTTTTTTTTTTTTTCTTTTCTTGTGGCCCATCTATAGGAGACTATATATATATAATAGAGATGGAGGCGAGATGAGGCTGAAATGATTTGCCCTATTTTTTTTCTTTTCTTTTCTTGTGGCCATAGGAGACTATATATATATATATAATAGAGATGGAGACGAAATGAGGCTGAAATGATTTGCCCTATTTTTTATTTTTTTTTATTTTCTTGTGACCATAGGAGACTATATATATATATATATATATATATATTTTAAATATAAAAGGGTATAATTAGCAATTTATTAAAATAATTCCATTTCCTTTCTTTACATTCCTTTTCCCAAACATGATTATTATCCTTCTCTTTCTCCGTTAATCAACCAAACACAATACAAAATTAAAATTATCCTTCCCTGCCAGGTCACCAAATTGACAACACCCATCACCGCCTGTAGGATCAAATCTGTGTTCTCGCACTCTGTGTACAATTATATTATGTTGTAATGGTGTTTTGCCAGGGGAAAAAAATTTCAACTAATGATTAATAAAATAAAATTAGACATTGCAAATTCGAAAGTGTCATTAAAAGCCACTACAACAAAGCCGACACACGATGCAGAAAAAGAAACAGAGAAAAAAACAAGGGAAACTCAACAGGATAAACCTGCTGTGGTTCCCCTTTATTTCAAGGCAATGGATAAAACCCAAATGCTCTTTACAATTCGACTGTCAACAATAATATCTATGCTTATACTAGACAACCAGACCCAAACCATCGATCGCCATAAGTAGATAAAGACCTCTAAAGAACTATATAAATAGTGCATCCTGATTCACTCCTCTTCAGATTCAGACTCTGCACTCTGGAGCCACTCTACAAAGGGCTTGACATTCTTCCAGATTTGAGAGCCTTTATTGCCTCCACTCAAGCCCTTCTGATACCACTGCACTATGAACTCCTCTTCCAGCAAATCACTGTCATAAAGCGCTTTAAGAACCAAGCCCACCTCCTTCACTGCCTCGGGGCTAGCTTTACCGCAGAAATTCTCAATAGCATGTAGCAGAACCAAATGGGATTCATCCTCCGCAGCAGCTGCTGCCAGGTAGTTCTTCTTCTTTGCAAGTTCTTTAGAGAATCCCTTTCCAAGGCCATTAAAAAGGGCTTCAAACAAGGCATCCATGATCTCTTGAGAAGTGCCAGAAAGCGATCCAAGAAAGGACTTGAGCTGGCTCGCAGAACCTCCCTTTTTGAGGTATTCCTTAATCTCATCAACAAGGGGCGCCTCGAAGGAATTTGTAGTGTTAATCCCATTTGCGTGTCCATTGACCTTGGATTTCTCTTTACGTTCTGGAGAGTTTTTACCTGATGTTGGCTTCTTTTCACTTGTAGAAAGCATAACCATCCCAGCTGTAACTGCATTCAGCTGTTCCTGAATCCGTTGCCGAGCTGCCTCTGCAGATGTGTCAGCCTGCCACTGGACGTCATCTTCATCATCTGCTGTTTCATTCTCATCTGCCTGGCTTGCTGCTGGGGAGTGGTCCTCATCAGAGACATTGGCTTTCTTCTTGGTTGATGCTTTGGGAGTCGCATCCTTGGAAATAGAGGAGCCCTTCTTCTTTGCAGACACTTTCTTCAGTTTCTTTTGCTCCTCATCTGCAGCTTCCCCTTCCTTTAGACGCTCCTTCTCAGCCCTCCTCATCGCTTTCTTGTCTTTTGATCCCTTCTTCTGCTCAGGAGGGTTCTTGATGATAAAAGTCGTGAGCTTGTCCCTCATATCAACATCTGACAAAAACCCACATGCTGCACATTTTAGAGTAATCATCTGTGTCTTCGTTATAATTACCTCAGTTTCGGGATTGCCACAACCATAGCACTGAACGTATTTCTTAATGAAGCTCTCAAGAAGCCCGGCAAGCTTTGCAGTGTCATGGGAACCATTGACATGAGAGGTTCCTGTCTTCTCATCGAATTTGGATTGGGCTCCAAGCTCACAACCAAAATACTTGGTGGTGTAAGAAGCAGGCCTACCCAAGGCCTTTGCAATATCAACCATGTTTACCACATTGGTCTTGATGCCATTTCCTCGGCCTTCAATTTTTGTTATCATTTTAGGCATCTTATACCTATAAAAGGCATCATCCTTGTTCCCAGCGCCAATATTTAGTAAAGCCATCTTGTCTACAAATTTTTTATCCTAGATTGGACTTTGTCAGAAGGAACACAAGATGTCTCTTTCAACAAGTGCTTCAATATTGCCAGAATGCCTTGCAGGTGGAAAAGGTCTTGTAAACCAGCAGCCTTGCCAGTGTGATTTATAGACACAAAATGACCCAAGATGCATGCAGTGTCCACTCTTTTTTCTTGACGTAGGACAATACTCCCCAAGCAACCCAACTGATGACAAAAAGAGAGTTGCCCGTTCAGACATAAAAGAAGCTTCTGAGTTAAAACCCTCCACTATACCTAACTGCAATTCTGCAAATATTGCAGATTAAAATGCCAACCTCCTGTTACAAAAAAAAATTGCATAGTTATTGCTGAGTAAAGATATTCAAAACCTTACCTTTCAAAAAACAAAATATATTTAAAACAAACTAAAAAAGACACTTCAATTGAAATCCAATTTGTAAGTAGGATGGGAATAGGTTGGTAAAATGAAGACAAGCAAGTAGTATCTAAATCAACAAGAGAATAACGAATAGGTTATAAGGAAAAATCTACAAAACATTAATTAGGCAGGCTATCATACAAGGGGCAAGGTGCTAAAAGTTAAAAAATAACAAGCAAAAAGAAAATTAAAAACAAAAGGAATAACAGCTTCATGTAGTTAAAGTGCTAAAAGTTAAAAAATAACAAGCAAAAACAAAATTAAAAACAAAAAGAATAACAGCTTCATGTAGTTAAAGTGAGAAGTCTGAGATCTATGATAAAGGAAGAATTTTTTCTGGCAATAGAAATGGTACAAGAAATTTATTGATGTGATCAATTTCATTTGGTTGAGATCCAAGGCAGGGATAATAATGAAATTAAAAGCTGATGACTAACAAAACCTCATGTGCTCCAAAACTAAAAAAGTTCTATTTCATTTATTGACTACAGTTATATCAGCTACCAAGGAAAACAAGTTGACTTAACCAAACTTGTTGCAGTAAAGGCGGGATTTTATTTTCTGTTTGTTACTGATGGGTACGAATGTATATGTGAATATGCGATTAGTACTGTCCATAAAACAAGTAATGACTACATTGATCTTCCAATTTATTAGCCATTGTCACAGAAGACTCAAGTATACAAACCCATTGTCAAACAAAGTAAAGATCATGAACTTAAAAGTAAAGATCATGAACTTAAAAGTAAATTATGAAAACCTTAACTGCACCTTTGATCCATCCAAAAAAGAAATGCAGTTTGCACCTCTAGATCAAGAGTATTTTTACCCTTCATAGTGGTTTCACAACATCAGTAAAGAAATATTAAATGTTCAGGCTGAACTCCAGTCTTAACGAAGAAGATTAGGCTAAAATTTGAATATAATTGCGAAAAAAGAAGAAAAAAATGAAAAAGATATAAAAAGATCAAGAGAATGTCAATAAAACTTCTTTTACAATTGTACATTGTAAATATGTGAAAAATGATCCCACCATCCATAGAAAACTAACTGCTTTAAATGATAAAGTAAAAAGGTGATAGAATTAAATCATATCATATACCAAAACATACTCAATTAGGATATGACATAGTCACCTAAGAGGCTAAGATAAGAAGATAGAGAGAACTTAAATCCAAATCCTAATCTTAAAATTAAAGTTAGGTGACATAGTCACCTAACTCTCAAACATGGTTCGATCAACCATTCAATATCCAACATATTTTTCAGGAAAACAAAAACACTTTTATGAATAAGTTATTTTACTATGAAGGCCCAATTGAATATATACTAAATCCACTTTATTAAGAAAATAACCATCATCGCCGGGAAAGGGAAATTTCCCATAAAATCACATAAATTTGATAAAGGATACCAATTCAGGTCAATTGAAACTGATAGAACCAATCCACCATTCCAAGGGGTACTGATCCAATCAATCAATCCATCTACCCAAAGATCTTTTGCAATACAATTCTATCTAAACCAGGCGAGATAACTCTTTCTATCAAGCCCTAGCTTGCCCAGGTGAGATTATTTTGAATCAACTCTCAACTTCTCACCCAATCTTATTAATCCAATTAAATCTCTTTTTACATATATATTCAATATCCATTCAATAAAGCACATCAAAAAATCAGATCTTCAAATCAACAATAAAATCAAATTCACACCCAAATCATAAAACATTATATCAAAAAGGAGAACGCAAAAGATCAATACGATTAATTCCAAAAAGGAAAAATCAATACCCTAATTAACACCCTACCAGTTCACCTGGTCTCTACTCTCGAAAACAGATCATAGCACAAATCGATTCAGATCGATAAAACTTGAATAGAAATACGAATAGAACAAAAGTAGGAATCGTATATAAATTGAAACAGGTGAAGCAAAAGACAGATTTGAATACCTTTTGAATTAGGGTTTCGGACGACACCTTGATGAATTCAAGAGCAGTTGAAAACCGTAGCCTCTACGTTGCGTGGCGATGAATATAGATTAAGATGTATATATATAGAGAGAACCCTAAGCGGTGAAGGTTTAGGGCAAACTAATAAATAATATAATTATTGGTAATACACCATTAACTTTTCTAGAATTTTCTTACTCAAAAAGTCAGCCCCTAATTTGTTTGAATATACAACTTTCATGTTTCTAATTTTAGTGTTCCCTACGAAAATGCTAAAAAATATATATTTATGTGGTTATGCTGGGTCTCTTATTTGAATTTTTTATTTAAAAAAAAAAAAAAATCAACATACAATGAAATTAGAAAATAGTTGCAAACTCGGATTTCTTAAATTTGACTATCAAAAAGACACATAAAAAAACGTAAATTAAAGTAATATGTGTGGTTTGTTACACATATTTAAAGAATATTCTACAATTTCACGTACCAAATGTAATCAGGTTGGAAGGATTCCTTGTGAAAAAATTAAAATAAAAATTAATAATAATAAATTTTAGATAAAAAAATCTATATTATTATTTAAACTACAAAGATTTTTTTTTATTTTTATTTTTTATTTGTATTATTTACTAACTCGTCCCTTTCTAACTCTTTTCTTCTTCTTTTTTCAAATTCTATTCTCTTTCTAATTCTTACTATTCACATTATGCAATTTACCCTAAAAAAAATAAAAATAAAAATAAAAATAAAAATAGGATTATAATCCTTATTTTTATAATGGCAACACAAACTCTTTCTGAATAAAAATAATCTACTGTTTTTAAAAAAATTAATTTTCTTTCTAACTCTTTCCTTTTTAAAACTTTATTCTCTTTCTAACTCTTCTTATTCATGCCATGCAATTTACTCTAAAATATAAAATAAAAATAATATTGTTAACCCCAAGACTAATTTTGACAATCACAAAACATTAATTGTATTTTAAGAACTAACATTTGCCTTGAGAACATTTATAGTTAGTCTAAAAGTGAAGTGGAAAACAAGGAAAGGTAAAGTCAAGCTAGATATATTATATGCACTCCAAAGTCAAAAGAAAAACAAGTTATTCACTTCTAAACTTCAAAGGTGAAACATGGAGAAGATAAGTAATCAAGTTTGGCAATTCAAATGGGATAAATAGGTTTGGTGAGCGACATAGATTCAAATGTTAAAGTATTTTATGAATGCAATGAAGCTCATATCCTAGAATCATTCATTTATCATATGATGATTTGAATGGCATTCATAACAATGAGTTGGTTTTGGCCAAGAGATGTTTCGGCCGACTGAACATGATGTTTCAGCCAATTGATAAGGGTTTTATATGCATCAGCCAACCGAAGAACACTCATCAGCCGACCGACAAGGAGGTTTCAAGAAGTTCCGAGAGCAGTAAGTTTTTATAATCGTTTCGACCGACCGACGATTGGGGATCAGCCGGCTGACGAAAGGATTTTAGCTGACCGGTGATGCTCCATCAGCCGACCGATGCGTAATCAATTTCAAATCAAACGGCTACCTGCGAACTTGGATTATTGACACCTCATCTCCACCAGCTATATTGACCTTCAACAGCTATATTGACCTCCTCTCTCTATAAATAGGAGCTCCAGCTTGTGTTACAATATACACCTATTGAGAGTAATTTGAAGAGCATTCAAGAACTCCATTCTAGAGCATTCAAGGCAATCATTTGATCACTTATTCCATACTAGAGATTTGAGCTTCATTTCATTTATATACTTACTCTAGTTGTGAGCCTACAATTGTAAATCTATCTTGAGAGAGAGATCCAATCTTGTATTTCATTTACATTCTTCATTACAAACTTGTATGGGTTGGTGTGACCTAAAAGAAGCTTAGGAGAAGGGTGTTCTTCTATTAAAAAAGAGAAGCAAGGGCTTGCTTCATGTGAAGGTTTGCTCTCCACCATAAAGGAAAAACTCTAATGGATTGGGAAGTCTCAAGAGGGATCTTGAGCCGAGGAGTAGGAGCTTCCGAACCTCGCTAAAATCTCCGTGTCATTGTTTGCAATTTCTTATCCGAATCTCTCTTACATTTATGCTTTGAATTATTATCTACTTTAATTGATTATTGCATAATTGTTTATCTCTATTTGAAATTGTAAATTATTTTTTAAAATTGGCCATTGACTCTATTCACCCCACCTCTAGAGTCAATTAGTGTCTAACAAATATTATAATTATTTATTACAGCACATAATAAATTCTACCACGACATAATAATATTATAATTCTTATGTTAAGTATATAGATGTGACCAATAGCATATAACATAAAAAAATAAAACTTTGATTATACGACTAATCTCTTAGGCCTAGTTTGGTAGGTAATAATGACATAGAATAGAATAGGGTAGGCATTATATTCCAACCATTACCTTGTTTGGAAAGACATTTAGAGCATCCCATGGCCTATTTGGATAGTATTATCTAAGCCTATAAACGAACCAAAGCCGTTGTTGTGCGCATACGATACTATCCACTTTGATATTCTACACTCAATTATCCAAAGGGCAAAAATCGTCTCATTTGCGCCTCTCACTGGAAGGTGTCCAATAAGTGTAAAATTGCTAAGGTGGAGCTTGAGCTAAAATAGTATTTACCATATTCAGTGTATACAACTTCTTTATACAGAGTATGTATATACCATTTATTTGTTGGTCTTTGGTGCCGGCTGTTCTCAACTTTTCATTTTCCATTTGAAATTTGAAACTCCCCAAAACATCTTCTTCCAAATTCTCTTCCCGACAAAAGAAAACAAAGCTCTCTCTCCTCCTAACCATGAAATTTGATTTAGGGTTTTGTACCACACATAAATAAAAATAGCTAAGACAAGCATCAATTCTTCAATTCATCTTTTTTGTATTGGGTGAAAGATTGAGTTTTTTAAGGTTTTGATTTGGGTTTTTTTTTGGATTAATGGCGCACCCATAAATCACTATATTCTTCTTCCTTCGACGACTTCTACTCTATTTTAAGAACTCTTTCTATACTCTCTTATATGGCTTCCAACATCAGCGTTATCGCGTGGTCTAGAGAAGACCATGTGATAACATTCTTCCTTTGCTATGCTCCTCTCATGGGCTCTAGAGAAGATGGACAGTTGGGAATCCGCAACAATGAAGACAAAGAATGAGTTTGCAAAATTAAATCTCTCGAGTCCCAAAATGTTTGTTGTGTAGTCGCCGAAAATCGCAAGTCACTCACCATTTGTGGAGATTGCAAGGTCCTCTTTTTACTCTTCATATTTATCACTCACATATATTTATCTAAATAAATATTAGGTAATTTTCTTTTTACTTCTTCTTGCAATCTTCTTTAGAACCCTTTATTATTGTTAGGTTGATTTGTAGTTTTTTTTTTTAAAAAATTTAGATAGAATCGTTTGTTGAGCTTGAAAACAGATTGTTTTTGTTTCAATGTTGGATCAATTTTTATTTATTTATTTTTTAAAAGTGAAGATTTATTAATTTATTCACTTTTTTCAAGTTCTAGTTTCCAAGGCTTTTTTTTTTTTTCTCTCTCTCTCTCTCTCTCTGGGCTGCATGATGGGTTTTTTTCTTTTTCCTTGTTTTATTTCTTAACTTTCATATTTTATGTTTAGTTTGTGATATCAATTACATTTGAGCTGTTGATCTATTTTTGGTGAATACAAGTTATCTTTGAAAATATAGGCAATTTCAATTATAACTTTCTGGGTCAAATATGGGGTGTCAATCCACTTAATGTTCAAAATAGATGTTATATGACTCATTTGTTTGCTAATAAGGAACTGAGAAAAACAAAAAAGATTTTTAGTATAGACATTGCATCATCATTCATTTGTTTAGGTTTTAAACTTTATTGTTGTTTGTTTCTATCTACTTATCAGTTTTCTTATTTTAGTTGTTTAGAAATAGAATCCATTTTGGAATATTTTGTCTCATCTTTAAATTATCAGAGCATAAGTATATGGAAAATTTTGGATTATGAGAGATATAGTTGTAGCATTTTCCTATTTGTCTTGGTGGTTATGAAGTGGAAAGCAACAAGAACCTAAAATCTCCAATGCAGTAAAATTATCTTTGGTTAATGTTGGTAATGTGGTATCCTCATTTAGGAGTGTTAATCGAAAATGGCAAAGTCTGGAAGAACGAAAATTTAACGGGAAATATAGTGATATGGTTGTGGCATTTACCCATATATATGTATATATGTATATATTGCTACTTAAGCGTGACGAGTTGATACGAGATCTTTAATGGATTTTTTTTCAAAACCCCTTATTTTATTAAGTATTAGTAAACAAACAACTTATGCTTTCATATTTTTAGTATCAATCAATTATTATTATTATTTTTTTTTTGAAAATATCTTAAGCAATTTATTCCAAATGAGCCAATGAGTATATTTTTAAGCTCATCTGGATTAACATATTAGGCTCTTGGCCCTCTTTGAGTTCATATATGATCTATTTGTGGTAACTATATTAGAAAATGTTACATCTTGATATGATGGAGCTTGGACATTCCTATATTATTTTAGTGGTACCAAACTCGTATTTAATACTGTCTTCCCTTTCAATGATGGTTTGAAAAAAAAAAAAAAAAAAAAAAAAAAGAAAAAGAATATTAAAGAAATTTATGTATGGTACAATTGATATTTGATTTTCTGCTTCTGCATCCAAAGATCTATCACTTAACGTGATCTCTTATAATTTAGTTGCTTCATAGTGCATCTATTATTGATTTCCAAATGTGAGAAATGTAATTTCCGTTAGTAACGACAAATGTTTATTGATATATTTTTTTTTTTTCCTGAGAGACATATTAAGCAATAAGTTTGGTATTTCTTGATTTCATGTTGGATATCTTTATTCTGATGCCACAAAAAAAAATAAAAATAAAAATAAAAAATTTGGGGTGAAAGAAATTAATGTATGAGTGTATTATTCAGTCGTGTTATATTTTTATTGCAGAGGAATTTTTGTATATAAAAAGAGACTTAATCATTTAACTATAAAAAATGATTTAAAAGGTTTTATTGAGATGTATGAGTGGAGAGAGATGTAACTCGTGG